AATCCCCCTTCCTATCCAGCAAGAACTCCCATTGCATACTTCTCATATTTCTGTCAGTGCTGATATACACAAAAACCAACCAAACCCAATCACTCATACCCGGACCTCTGACTTCCACCTGGATACAGAATTCATTTCCCTCAAGTTTTCTGATTTCAACCTCCTGATCCCACATCAATAAAAGGCCGCCTTTGCTCTTCTCAGGCTCCTGCAGGTGCCATCTATCTTGAAACCCCAGCTTATTACATACAGTTTTAGTAAAATATTTGTTTTTTTTTGATTCAGATAAAAAGATAATATGTGGGTGGTGGATTCTTCTTGAATCCTTGATTTGGGAAACTGTACAGGGCCCACCCAGCCCTCTACAGTTCCACACCATGACCTTCATTGGTCACATTGGGGCCACTCCAGGCTGGCCTTCTCCACCTTTTCAGAGGATAATTTAACTCTCTTTCCCATATGTTCTTCCTCCTTGTTTTGAAAATCAACCACTTGAAGATCTTGCTCCTTATTTCTCTCCCTTTTCCAGCCACTAAAAGATATGGGGTTCCCTTCAATCACTGGACTTCTCAATAGTCTACCAGCTTTAGCTGCAGCTCTTCTCCATATTCTCCTACTATCAGCCAGCAGCACTTCAGCTTCAACTCCAGCATCTATCAATGGAGAAGCTTCTTCAATCACCATGATATCCCTCTTCTCATCATCCTCTTTCCTGATCTCCACTTCAGCAATCTCCTCTTCCTCACCCAAAGAGGACACCATCACCAACTCCAGAGATTGACCCCCCTCTTTAGCACTAAGAGATTTATGAACAGAAGAGCCCCCTACCCTATTCTCCCCTTTCTCAGAATGTGGTGGATGCCTCGAGGTACTAGCTGCAGCATTGGTATCCATTTTAGGGTTTGGAGCAGGAGAACTCACTTTAGGTTCTGAGCCACTATTACCCGAATGTCTGTTCCCATAGATGAAATCAGCAGCTTTAAGCCAGTCCCCAAATTGCCCTTCTTGCAGACATCTGTTTTCAATATCCATCAGCCGGGTTTCACAATTTTTATCAAGATGGCCGATGCACCCACAGTAGTAGCACAAATTTACTAAGCGTTCATATTTGAATTGAACCATCGTCTGCTGATCTTCGAGCTTCACCACTGTACATCGAGGCAACGGCTCCTTCGTATTAATGGTTGCCAATAGCTTAATGAAGCTGCCCTCGTCCCCTCCTAATCTGCAGATAGTGACATTCTTAACCGCCTCAAACACCTCCCCTATTTTCAACCCAACCTCACTGCTCATCCAGTTAAAAGGGACATTTAGAACATGTACCCACAAGTTTACTTGATCAAAGCTTCGATGTCTACTGGTTAATCCCCTCCGCCATTCTCTTAACACCAGATATTGATTCTCGAATAGCCAACTATGCCCCGCCATAACCCTTTTCCTATCATCTTCCGAGGAGAAGATGAACTGAAAAAAATTTGTTTCCAGTTCACGAACCTCTAATCTTTGATGGAGACGCCATATTGTACTCATAGCTCGCTTTACCCCCAGAAGTGAAGCCTTGCGGTCACCAATCACTTTCCCAAACAAGCTATTCACACATTCCTCCTCACTCGACACAATGTCTCTGCGCTGAATTTCGACACCCCCAGATTCTTTAGCAGATAACGAGAACTTCTGGAGCTTTTTAGTAACCTCGTCCCCCAGATCCCCTGGATCCGCCATTAACAACAACACAAATACAGAAGATTTCGCTAAGAAAATCAGATCTCCTTCACCAAAGGAATACAATCACTCCCACCTGAGAGAATCGCACCCACTCCCACCTGAGAGAATAATGTAAATTATAGATTTTAAACACATATAAAACAACATCAGAGAACAACATACAAGAAAGATTATGCAAAATTTCACACTTAAAGATAACGAATAAGATTTTGTAAAATTCGACAAGTAAGGCTCATTTTCAAGATGTCCAGGCAAACGAACGAGTTATGATCTAAAATTTGAACACATAATAGAACTTACTGAGCAGAGCAAATTCACCAAGTTTCAGCCTTACCACTTAAACATGCAATTTTATAAAATTAAAACAAATTTTCAGCAAAAACGACATGTATTTAATGACTTACCAAATGGATGATTCAGAACTTAAAAATTTTATAACAACTACAAAATGCTGGACAACATATAAAAATTTTAAGAATAAATACTGAACATGTGATTTATGAAAATTGTTGCAAGTGTCAGCCGAAAACACGATTATAACAAAAACCTAACAAAATGAATCCAACAATTCTTGGGATTTTTCACAACATCAAATACCATATTAAATAAGCATAATGACCTAGTTTCATGCATTTACATCAAGAATCCGATTTATCATGGATTTAACAAGTTTCAACCGATGTAAACAATTAAACATTCACCCTAGCAAATGAACTCCAAAAATTATGAAAATTTAACACAAGATCAATACACATCTGGGGAGTAACATATCCAAAATTCAGAATTTTTGGACAACAATACGATTTATCTGGCATTTTACAAATTGCATCAACCACATGAACTTCAAAAATCTATAACTTGAAAAATATAAGTACAAAATGCGCAAGGCCAAAACCATTGTGATCAGAACATAAAAATGTTCTATATTCCAAGATCTAACCACGAGATTCACTCAAATCCTAAGGGTTTCACATTCAAACCCTAAGATATAATATAACACAATATATAAATATCATTTTATATCATAATAAACCAAATAACTCATGAATCTCACATATTCAGCAACATGAGCATATAATCACATCATGATATAGGAGTTTAGCAAAATTTACCAAACACCAAGGGGGGGATAATGAAAGAGTCGCGGTCACGGCTCGGTTTGATCCTACGGGCGGGGAAATCATCCGCGTGTGCTCGACGTTCGAAGGCGGCTCGCACGTCGGATATGGCGTCCTTCGATGTTTCATTGATCGTGGAAGGTGATTGGACGCGTGAGGTGGCAGCAGGTCGCCAGTCGTGGCTCGTTGGAGGGCTTCATGCGCGGGGCTCGGTGATGGGGCGTACGGTAGCGTATATGTTCGTTTTTAATGTATATATGTTGTCATGAAGAGTTCTATTATGTTCACGATGATTCGTTATTTCTTGTGGTCGTTTCCTGCTCGTATTGATGAGAATTAGGGGAATGTAGGATGGAAATTCCCTAACTTCTCTTCTCTTGGTGAAATCTGGTAGGAAATGGAACACACATATATCCTTAGGCCTTGTGTAGAGGCCTAAGATCAGTTGGGGCTTGTTTGAGTACTATATGATTTTTCGAAGTCTTGTTAATTGTTGAAACTAGATATATTTTGTAAAATCGTAGCCTCGGTATTTTGTTGTGAAATTTCAGTATGTTGTTCCCTGCTGAGTTTTGAACTTGGTGTATAAATTTCGTAATTTTTGGATCAGTATTGCTATTTTTTGAAAATTGTTCTAATTTCTGATCAGAACCATGTAAAAATTCCTATAAATCTAGCAGAAGTCATTTTGATCTGCAATTTTATATGTTGGTCATCTGTCATGATTTAGCCTATGTTTAAATTTTGTGAATTTTGGAGTTGATTTGGTATTTTTAATAATTGTTTAGTTTTCGGGGCAGAAACATGCTTGAATTTTATAAAATCGAATTCTTGGCTTAGAATCATGAAATTTGTATATGTTGAGTCTCTAATGACTGGTAGTAGGTGGTTAAAATTTTGGAGCATTTAGAATTCGTTTGCTGAGTCAAATAATTATTGTGGTATAATTGCCAAAATGTTAGGAAAATCTTTAATAATCACATCTTAAGGTTTAGGGATTGATATTTGTAATTTATGCTTAGTTCAGTAGCATATTTCTTGGGTTTGAATTTCATAATATTATATGATCGTTTGCCTGGTTATCCCGATTTATGCATTAAATTACCACATCTTTCGAAAAAGCTTTAAAGTGCGTTTTAAAATGGATTTTTAACTGAATTATCTTTGATGTTGCATTTATGTGATCTTATGTGGTGTGATTTTTGTTTCAAGGCATGAGTCTTTGCCCCGTTGACTTAGGTTGACTCGGTCAACCTTTGTTTGACTTTAATGAATGTTCCCGTGATTGGTTCGAGTCGAGTTGTGTGTTCCAATTTTTCCTCGAGTATTTCCCACGAGTCACTTAGTCGACGGGTTCGAGTCACTTAGTCGACGGGTTTCAACTAAGTTTGTGCGTTCATTGGTTCTCGTTGTAATCAACGGTTCGCCTTGATTTCTTGTAGGTTATCGAGGTGTTTACTTCAAACCGATTTTCAGAGCCTCGTTTATTGCTATTTCTTTCGCTGCTATCAGGTGGGTTTACTTATAAAATTTTCTATGCCATACGTGTTGTTTAATGTTTAGTTGGTATGACCAATGTATGAATGTGAACCATGTGGCCTACCGATGTGAGTTGTTACGGCCGTCGGCACGGTTGTCCCCGTCGAGTTACGGTACGGTTGCCCTTGCGAGGCAAGTCTCCTTAAGACCTAATGAAAGGTCGTGTCCGTTAGAGTGGCACGCACTCCCGTCATTAGGATTTATGCATCCTCTTTTCGCGGCTAATGATAGATGTGCACATGAGTGAGTTATTGTTGTGATTTTAGGAGATGAGACATGATGATGATTGATTTATATTCATGCTGCGACCATACCATCTTAACATGTTTTATGTGCATAGTGGTGAGCACTACATTATCATTTGTGCTCATCCCCACCTGCTCTTCATGGATGCAGGTTAAGAAGTTGGCGGGTGACGAAGCGAGACGAGTGAGTGGTCCGTTGTTTACCTTATTGCTTCCGCATTATTGTGAACTATGAATTGTATTTGATGACTTTGAAATACTCATGTTGCATGGATTTATGAGATTCCAATTATGCATGCTTTATCGTTAACCTTAGTATTATGTTATGTGTTGAGAATTGGTTAATGAAAACCGTAAGGGAAAATTGGGTTTATGAATCCCCGTGGGTCCAGATAAGACTTGAACTGAGTAAAATGTTTTGGTTATTGCCCTTGATTTCGAAAATGAATTCGAAAAGTTTGTTCTGATTTTTAAAAAGCCCGGGATTTCTTTAAAATCAAAGTGGGGTGTTACAGTGGGAAAGTGTTAAAAAAAGATGGGAGCATCCTCTCATGAAAGAGGCACCAGATCAAGGAAAAGAAGCTACGACGACCACGATTCTCAAACCAAAAGATAACTGGACAGATGCTGAAAAGCTTCAAGAAGAAGCCAATTACCGTGCCTTATACGCAATCATGATGGTAGTGGATCAGACAAGACACAAGATGATAGTTCAATGCAAGACTGCAAAAGATGCTTGGCGGATTCTACAACGTCAATTCGAAGGTTCAACGGCTGTCAAAGCATCCAGAATTCAAAAGCCGACCCTTGAATTTGATGAAATCAGGATGAGGGATGAAGAAACAATTGACATATACTATGCCAGATTCTGTGATCTGGTGAATCAAAGTGCCATGCTTAGAGAAGAAGTATCTGAGAATCATCAAGTTCAGAAGATCATGAGAACAGTTACTCCCAGGTTCAGGGAAAAGATTACTGCTCTTGAGAGTTTTCAAAGAAATGCACCTCTGGATGTTGATGAACTTCTTGGGGAACTAAGAACGTTCGAGATCAACAATAATTATGACAAAGTAAAAAACAAGGGACTGGCTCTCAAGGCTACTGTAATGGAGGAAAAAGAAGACAGTGACGACGATGAAGGTTCAACCGTAGACGACAGCGAGCTGAAAGAGGCTTTTGCACTAATTGCGAGAAATTATGGGAAGATGAGTCAAAGGTTGTACAAGAATAAATTTGCTGGGAAGAAAAGTATCAATTCCAGCAAGAATATGTTTCAATATAAGAAGAACAACACGACTTTCTCAAAACCTGATTCGCAACGAGATGAAAAGGACCAATGCAGGGAGTGTCGTGGTTTTGGGCACTTTTAGTATAAGTGTGCTAATCTTAAGAAGAAGAACAAGTCTCTGAAGGGAACATGGAAAGATTCAGATGACTATGGCACAGACCAACCTCCATCACATACTAGTAATATGGCGATCCACACCTCTGTTAAGAAGTTCATGTGTCTCACCACTTCGCTGGTTCCAACCAAGTTTGAAGAAAGTTTGAGTGAGGCTGAAGCATCTGAAGACGAAGCAGACCAAAATTTATGTGTAGACCCAGTACACTTGCTCGCCATGGAAAAATTTGCACATGCATCTGAAGCCATCCAGAAGCTTCAAAGTGAAGTGTTTAGGCTGACAAGAGCAAACAAGATGATGAGTGAACAAGCCTCCTCCATCACTTTTGCAAAAGAATGTGAACTGGATACAACAAAGGCCCGAACATCTATTCTTGAAGGCAGTGTTAAACTTGCTAAGCAAGATGGATTGGAAAAGACCCAGACCATTGAATGCTTGAGGACTGAATTATTCTCTACTCAGAAACTTCTAGCGGAGCACAACAAGGAGATCTTGAAGTTGAAAGCTGAAGTTGATCGACTCATGAACGAACATACAAGCATGGAAAATAAACTGAGGGCAAACTCAGCGGAGTTGAATCGTACTGTCGAGGCGTTCCGAAACTGAACAAAGGGAAAAGTGATCTAAATGAACTTCTCTCCTTGGGAATACAATATGGTGACCTTACAGGAATAGGGTACACTGGCAAGGAGGATAATCCTGAATCCTCTGCGGAAGCTTCCAAAGCAAAACATACAGGTCTTGGTTTTGCAAAAAAGTTAGGAGTTGGAGGCACAAGTCTTCATGGGAAACCATTCAGGAACCTATTTGGCAGGTTTGTAAACAGCACTGTAAGTAAACCACCTTCTCCAAACTCTCAGTCACATGTTCATGCACATGTTCAGGAACGTATTAGAGAAAACAATCCTAACTTCATTCCCATCTGCCATTATTGTGGTATAACTGGTCACATAAGACCCAAATGTTATAAAATGCAACATGATCTTTGTACAGGTGGAGTTCTTAATTGGACTTGTTCAGGTATACCAGTGAAGACTCACACTGCCAATTCTCAAAATACCTTTTCTAAAAATCGTCAATTATGGGTTGTAAAGAAATCTTTTAATTGCCTTGCTTCAGTACTTTCTCTCAGAACCTCACTTAAAGGGAAATGGTATCTTGACAGTGGGTGTTCTAGGCAGATGACTGGAGAACCATCATACTTGATGAACATTCAAACTGGCTCAAATAGAGAAGTCACTTTTGGTGATGGTGTGAGTAATAAGGTTGTTGGGTCAGGTTGCTTGAATTTGGGTGGCTTACCTAGATTAACTGATGTGTTTCTTGTGCATGAACTAAAGACAAATATATTGAGTGTAAGTCAACTTTGTGATCAAGGTCTTAGTGTCAGTTTTTCATGTGATAAGTGCTATGTGAAAAACAGTGAAGGTACATGTGTACGTACAGGCTCTCGTTCTACTGACAATTGTTATCTTGTTGACTTCAATGAAAAATGCCTTCTAGCAAATGCTAGTGAATCTGAGATCTGGCGTCAACGTTTATGTCATATTGGATACTCTCACTTGGTCAAGTTGTCTAATGCAGATGTTGTCAGGGGAGTTCCAAAAATATCTATGAAGGTCCAGCCAGTCTGCGAACCATGCCAACTGGGTAAGCAAACTCGTGAATCTCATAAGGCACTGAATCACATTGCTTCTAAAAATGCCTTCAGATTGAGAGCTACCAAGGTAAGAAATATATTTTTGTGTGCGTAGATGATTTCTCTCGATATACATGGATTGATTTTCTGTGAGAAAAATCTGACACCTTCTCTGCCTTTAAGTCACTCTGTCTGAAGCTTCAAAATGAAAAAGGTTTTTCCATAATAAGCATTTGAAGTGACCACGGGCTAGAATTTGAAATATTGATTTTTTTAGTTTTTGTGACTCACTGGGTATTCTTCATGAGTTTTCTGCATCTAAGACTCCACATCAGAATGGAGTTATAGAAAGGAAGAATCGCACTCTTCAAGAAATGGCCAGGGTCATGTTAAACTCCACGAAAATCTCTCACAAATGGTGGGCTGAGGCAATAAATACTGCTTGCTATCTTGTGAATCGAGTGTACCTTCTTTGCGGTAGTGGGTTGACTTCGTATGAACTCTGGAAAGGTAAGAGGTCTAACCTTAGTCACTGCATGTTTTTGGTTGTAAATGCTACATTTATAATGATCGTGAACAACTTGAGAAATTAGATGCAAAATCGGATGTGGGGTTCTTTCTTGGATACTCCAATAACAGTCGAGCATACTATGTTTACAACACGAGTACCTCCACTGCAATAGATGTAACACCCCGCCTAATTATTCTAGAATTTATAAAATCAGAGTAAAATTTTTTCTTTTTATTTTCGAAAAACTCTTAAACTTTATTTTCGAAAATACTCATACTAACTCGCGGGATGCTACTAACTTAAACTCTTTCTCATGCAGGCGTAAATAAATACATGCAACCTAATCAAATCCATTATGTAAAGGTACCACGGAGATAAAGGCATTATACATGCATAAGTCTGGTAATCTCATAATACATACTAAGTCTGAAATGTGCGGAAGCTGAAACATAATATGTCTACGCATAGTAATAATAGTACATGTTCAATAAATGACATGTAGATGCGTTACAAAAAGACTGCTAATGACCACGACCACCACTGAAATCTCACGCACCACGCGCCGCTCCGTCACCTGAAAAACGAAATGGGGGCGTGAGCAAAACCACTATGCTCCGCAAAGACCAGTACTTAATTATATAGCATCGTTAATAACAATATCATGACTTTAAGTATATAAGAACTGATCTGAACTGAAACTGTAACTGGGGCATCTGGTGGTCATAAAGACCCTGGGCTTAAAAGCCAATCATGTGCACACTCCGGGGGATGATTAAGGCCAATTAAGGCCTCCCTCAGAACCACGGGGGATCATTAAGGCCCGCCACGACCTCCCTCATGATGATCTAACTATTTCTCATACATACCTCGGACATGGTACAAAAATTAAAGACGATGTATAACCAGTACGTGACCCCCACCTGATAAACTGCTACTGCTAGGCAAGTGCTGACTGACTGGTAGCTGTCGGAGGCTCGACTCTCCTTAAGCTACATAAATATTTGAGCAAAATGTACTAAGTACTAGGATCAAATAAAAACTTGATTCTTATTATTAATTGATCTTACTCGGTTCTCTCGCTCGATTAAAATATCATTTAATCTGGATTTAGATGCTTTGAGCTATTCTGAAAAGATTTGTTGACTTTGAGGCATTCTAGAGTTCTTCGAAATGTTTCTAAGTCTGGTCTGCATATCTGATTTATCTGATCTAACTTATCTGGCTGATCTTATTTATCTGACTGGGTGCAACTCGACTTAATCGTGGTCCGCGTACATACGCACGGACACGACATCAGCCGACGCACAACTTTTCCACTCGGATCTAGAGTTTATTTGGACTGACCAGAAAAAGGCCAAACTAGGGTTCTCTACTCAACCGTCTATCTATATCGGTTCAAGTCAAAACTCAAACTCTAAGTTCAACGTGATTTCTAGTGATTTTAGCTAAATCCAAACCGGATAAATTCTAGGGTTTTCACCAAAGCAGCTAAAGTCCCGATTTTGTAGGCATACCCAGTGTTTAAAAAACCGTACCGTACCGGCCGGTAATACCGGTATTACCGGTTACCGGCCTTAGGTACGGTACAAAAACACACAAAATACCGGATTTTCGGTAATACCGTTTTGTACCGGTATTGTACCGTAAATACCGGGAAAAACCGGTCCAAAATACCGGCCATGAAAAAAAAAATTAAAAAAAAAATAAAAAATATTTTATTTTTAATTTAAAAACATAAAA